ACTTGTGCGTGTATTCTGTTGTTTATATACAACCATGTTGCCTCCAGTGTGTGCGCCAGTGTGTACCTGTGTGTGCCGAGGGGCGGTGATATGTAGCTCGCTGAATGTTGGCTCGGTGGGCTGTTGCCAGAGGCTCGGACACTGTCGAGGTGGTGCCTCCGGGCTGGGAGCTGTCAGCTGTTCGCTGGGGTGACTCGGAGCTCCGGCTCGGCGGGGAAAGCTCTTCCGAACCAAGATCTATGTAGAGAGTAAAAAAAAACTTCAGGACGAGGGACCAGCTACTGAAGCTGCGCAGCTTCCTCAAAAAAAGAAAAAGTCAGAGGATGGTATAATGTAACGCCTCATCAAAAGAAGCGTACGGTTGCACACAATCGTTAATAGCCGCGAAAATATAAATTTAAAACAAATATATGCCATGAAAATTACTACCACATCAAATTTACCTGGAATGACAAAGGTTTAGGACACTAGACCTGGTCTTGTGCGTTAGGACCGTGTAAGCTGAACTGAATGGAAACAACACGCTCTTCGCCCGGTGGATGGTCCAGTGCGGGCAATGAGATGCAGCGATGGACCCGGGGTTACTGACCCTCACCTCGGGCTGAGTTAGAGAGCGATGCCTTGGGAGTCGCTCTTGTACGTGCTGCCCTCCACATTTCTATCTGGGATGTCGGAGAGGCTCCTGGACTGCCCGGAGTCTGACAGTTCACACTTGTATCAGGTTCAATGACACACTTTCCCCACATGATGTCAAGATGGACACAGGGACTTGCCCACATGCTTTGAGATCACCTGGCGCTCTACTAATGCAGGTTCACTGAACGCCTGTAGCATTGCTCAAGGCGGATCAATTCAGTTTCGCTATAATTTGCCCAATTCGAAGATTCCAACAGTTGGGCTGCAGCGCCCCCTCTGAAATGCATTTAATCTGATTGCCACTCGGGGGGGATAAAAACTTTATAAAGTTACACTAACTCGCCAGAAATGGTATTAACCTCGTTAAAACGGTGTGAAGGTTATGGCATAGTGAAAACTCCATTGAACTATTGCCTGTAGATCAAATCTTTACTAAAAATGCTCAAACGGTGCTACCTCACAATCAACATTAAATAGTTTTAGATTTGGAATTAAATCATGATCCTCTGCCCCCTTTATCGTGACAGTTATAAGACATGATATGATCTACTGGTCATAACTCAGTTGGAGATCGTGGCTAAAACAGCTGCCTTTAGTCTCGGGTACCCCACGCCCCGCAACCATGAAAGTTTTTTTTTATTTTATTTCCATAGTTTACTTGGAAAATGCAGTTCTACAATGTCACGGTTAACCGGACGTTCATAATCCGAGACACTCTTCTGGCGTTGAGTCAGGTAGGAAACAGAGAAGGCGTTTTCGGACAACTCTGTCCCTACCATCGGAAAGAAATGGTCACAGCCCCTTCACTCCCGGGGGTTCCACTGAACAGAAACGGGGGGGGGGGGGGGGGGGAAGAAAAACAGTCTAAACCTGCAGAAGTGCCGAGTTCTTGTTTACACTGTACCGTGGTCATCTTTACACTTTTACATCTTGCACCAAAAAGAAAAACCTGTTTTCCGAATATCTTTCCGTTTCACTTTCAGAAATGTTCTAAGTATTGTGATCTCGTGTGGAGTCACGCTTTTAATTAAAACTAATGTTTTGCAAGGCTACATTTGGCAACCAAGTTGCTTAGCTTCCGCAGTTAACTCGTTTGCACATTATTCCCGGTGAGGGGTGAATGCTCAAAATCAGCTGGTTACCTAGAGAACAGGCGATGTCTCTTTAAACATCCGCCTTATTACCGGCCGCCCCATCTTCCACACACACAGTCAGACAGAACATCAACTGTGGGGAAATTTTAATTTAGTGTGAATTTATTGAAGAAAACCACTCTTCTCTCAATCACGTTCTGCGACCAACTCAGAAGTCGGAATTCATCACCCATGACAGTACGGGGTAGTTAAAGAAAATTACGAAAAAGAGATACGCTTTAATGAAATTAAAGCGATACTATGCACTGAGCATTGGATCTGTTTCGAGAACAACACTTGTTGGCACCAGCTATACAAGTCAGGATCGTACCTAGTTAGGGCAGTCCAGACAATTATTGGAGACGCCCTATATCAGACACCTTACCACTAAAAAAAAATTTTTGTAATTTCACTAACATTTCGCAGGAACGTGTCAAAATCGCCACAATGTTTAAATGATGGAGTGAAAGATTATAGTTTAGTATAGAGAGTAAAGAATTTGCTACGGCGAGGTTTTGTTGACAAATCTCAGCAGATATCATCCTTCGAAATCGACTTGTGACCCTGGTTAGAACTTTCCCAAATTTACAAACTAGCCGGTGTCAAGTCACCCCTCGCTCGGCGCCGCCTCAGAACAGTAAGGTTTATAAATTCCACTGGCAATTTTGGACTTGAACTGTTACTCTCCCGCGCGGAGCCTATTCCCGTTTCCACTACTACCTTCAATGCGAACATACTTTTAAGCAATTCTGTTGAAAATTCCAATGTAAATACCCAGGTACACAGTTACACACATGTACGTATGAGAACGTGCCGCACTCTCTACTACTGATTATTACTGAACAAAAAGTAAAACAGATTCGCTTATGAAAGTGAAACTATTAATAAAAGAATTTGCAAAAATGCATTTTAAGACAAGACTAGGACCAGCATCTTAAATGATCACACGTGTTAGGTCATCAGAGTGCGCAATTAGACGTGGTTATTTCTTAACTGAAACTCCGAATTTCCCTGGCCGTATCGCGAACAGACGTGCAGACTGATAATCAACACTAATACCATTCCAACGCGCTGCATTTCAACTTTATAAACACACCCAGTAGCATACCCCCTTCAGAATGCGACTACAGTGAAGTCAAATGGACACTAAATAACTATACACTTTCACTCGAACATAGCTAATTATACATCCAGACAAGTGCAAAACAAATCGCATCTATTCACCACATCATTGCAAGCACAGAGCCTGCAGTATTACATTACCATGACAACTACCAGAAATACCTTAATACCCGCTGATCTCCAATTGTCACACAACTCAAAGCCGCTGATTAACCCATAAATTCGCAAGACACAAGGGACAGGCATCAAAGCGCAAGTTCTGAAGTATGTTCCAATCAGCGTTAACACAAAACATCACTATAGCTCATTGAATTGTAGTCGCTTGTTCTATAGCATACCCATTGTAACTTTCATGATGTCCAGTGAGTAACTGATTGATACGTACTTGATTGCTGTGACGGTTCCGTTTTTACATATAATCAAATAGCCGTCCAAGTTGCGTAGAGGCGTCCAGTCCAAATCATGGATATTGTACAGAGAAACTTGTCTTTAAAATATCACTCCCGGTAAATGATTTAGTTGTAGTGCAGATTCGGATCCTTCCTCTTAATGCGAATTCATCAATGGAGGAAAAGTGCGAGAAAGTCTTCTTTAGCCCTTCGTGTATTTGTAGGTCTCTCCTCCGATTGCAATGTGCCTTTGTTTATGTGCAGACAGATAACAGATTCCTCACTTTGTGAACGTCATTTATGTTTAAGGAAAGGTGGGTGGGGAAATTGGCAAGAGCTGCTCTCCTATTGGACAATCGCCGGTATCTCCATAGAGCGGCTGGAATGCAGGCGACGTCAATTGTGACGCTGCCGGGCCGTCACGTCACGCGGCGGCACGGCACGGCACGTCAGCTGGCTTTTATTGTGTCTGCTCTTCTCCCAGTTTCGGGCTGGGCTCTTGGTCGCGCGCCCCGTGCTCGTGCGCGCACAGCCGCGGCGTGGTAGCTCACAAGTGGTAGACAGCGTAAAGAGAACAGGACGCTTCGCTCTCCGCGCTCTGCTTTATTGTCATTTATGAACCCCGCGTCGGCGCGTCATTGCCTCTGGACGCCCAATCGTCGCGCGCCATTGGCGATGGAACACCACGCCCCTTTCCCCGTGCGCTCGTCACGACCACACCCCTCGGTCCCTCTCCCCGGGATTGTGGACCAATAGGAGCGCGGGAAGCTAGGCGCGGCCGGGGAGGGGGCGGTCTGGAACTTGTGCGCGTGAGAGCGCCCCGCTGACGCACGTCATTGACGCAAGCAGGAGCTAAATTTAGCAACTCTGGGCCAATCCATCGATTGAGATAGCACAGATCTCATTCATTTCTGGGGCGTACCGTTTATTTTAGGAACTATTTTGTGATCCAGTGAAACCAAATATAGTTGTCGATAGGTATTTTTAGTTGTAGCAATCTCGTTTTGTTAATGTTCAGAAATACTTTTTTTTAACGTAACCTAATTACAGATTGTAGCGACTAATGGAATAATGATTATGTTAATTCATTATGATAACCGAATTCTCGTACAATACTTGGAAATGTGAGTGTTTGGATTAAAACGGTTGTACAGTTTGATTTTCATTTATCGCGGCACTTTTTGTTATTATGCTTCTTTCTGTTTTTATCACTTATTACAGATGTATATCTAATATTGAAATATAATTAGCTTGGTCTCAATGCTGGGAAACCTATGTACCTATATTTGAAAGCAATTGGAAAACGGAAATTGGAATAAATCTTACATTGGGGAATTTATTGAATGTTAAAGTTTTAGATTCCACCCATTTAATTATTTGAAGAATAGACACATTCTTGTAACTTTGCCAAAACGCCTTTGCTTTCACAAATTTATTACGCACTAACGCCTTACGTATTTTTTTCAAACGCTGTGGAGATTTACTACGTTCTAGATATTGCTTCATGGGATGTTCCGCTTTTTTGTTTTGAAGTGAAATTTTTTTGTTTGGAAAAAAAAGTGTTTGTGTTTTAATTCCATTATTACACTAAGCGGTTGACCAATTCGTGGGGAGTGTTATTAAGGAAGCGTCGCGGTTTGGCAGCTTTACCGCAGCGCCTGAGGCTCTTGGCAGGTAAATGAGTGAGAGAGAGGGAGGGAGGGAGGTGGTGAACCCTTGTTCCACTTTATAAATAGGCAGACGGAAGGGAACGTTCCTATTACGCACACGCGCGGATTACGTAAAGGAGCGTGTTCAAAATCAGGAGACGTCTGATGACGCAGGCACGCAGCCTGCACGAGGTTAGTTCCGGCCTTCGTTCCAAAAACAGAGTTTAGATCTTCATTCTGGGAATTACATTTTTACATAAATGTTTACATTATGCAAACTTTACTCCTGATTTTAAAAATCCACCCCATATTAAAAAAAACTGTATTTTCCCCACTGAACGGCCTAAAGGAGAAATAATCTCTTTACAAAATGTGCTGTACATCAGGCTAAAAACTGCACACGTGTGTGTATAAAACTGCGGCAGATTTTTGTGGTGAGTATAACGCTCGAGATTTTTTCTGTGATCAGGTTGTTGTAGCCTTTATTATAAAGATTATTTTTAAAACGCTTGAACTTTTCTTTCCCTACAGATGAACCCCAGTAAGAAGCATTGTATTTCTGAACCCACTACTTATGCGGACTTGTTCTAGTGATCTGTTTGCAGCAGTGATCTGTTTGCAGCACTTCTGAATAATAAATCCGCAAATAAACTGTTGAAAAAATACAAATTCTTGCAATTTTTTCATGTGTAAAAGTTGCACAACTAATACATTTCAATACAACTGTATGCCTTTTCCTCTTTATACCTTGGGAACGTTTTGGAAAGTAGAAGGAATGTCACTAGATGTGCTCCTAGCATCAGAACTAAGAAAACACCAAACATGTTTCTTAATAAACTAGGAATATAGCTTCCATAGGATGTCTTGATGGATAAGGCCAACAAAACAGTTTATCACTGCTTCCAATTGCCAACACAGTTTGGCACTTCATTTAGTGCAGATTGCCACAAGGCAACATTTCAACAGTGTGGTGAATATGAGCTGTATTGAGCTTTAAAGGATAAATTCTGCTTTTATATTCACAACTCCTTTTGGAGGCATGAGAGCGGCAGCAAGCTAGTTGTCTAAGTGGTTCAAATGACATCAATCATGATCATACTTAAGTGAAAGCATATTTTTGTATTTTTCTGAGTTGGATAATTTGTTTTTATTTTCTATTTCAGTTTTATTTGCTTTCTTTTCCTGCTGGCTTTCGGTATGGATGACAACTACCAACATGTCAGTAGAAAAATGTAATATAAGGTCACATGCAGTCATATGTGAGCAGTTACATAACACTCTTACAGAATAAGAAAGTTCACGTCATGCTGAAAAGTTAATGATTGTAATACTGTTAGGTTAGTGTAAATGATTTAAGATTTGTTGTAAGGTTTTATTTATACAGCCTGTGGATGCCTTCAAGTGCTTTGCAGCTAAAGAACTGCCCTGTGAGGTGTAGTCACTGTTGTAGTGTAGAAAGATTATCTGAAAATTGTACCAGTTTTGATTATGCACCAAATGATTAAAAATCACTATTCCAAGATTGGATTAAAAACAGAAAATGCACAATTTCTGCAAGAATAATATTCACCTCATAAATTGAGCTGAGATTTTTTTTTTTCTTTCTTTTCAGACAAGGTGTAATCTGCTAAGATTTCTGTTTTTATTTAAAATTTTAACCTCAAAAATGAGTGCCCTACCTTGAAATTATTCCACAAGATCTTTCCTAACAACATCACGTACAGATTTAATTAGGGATGGTACGGTGGCTCAGTGGTTAGCACTGCTGCTTCACAGTGCCAGGGACCTGGGTTCGATTCCACCCTTGGGCAACTGTCTGTGTGGAGTTTGTATATTCACACCATCTGTGCAGGTTTCCTCCGGTTTCCTCCCACAGTCCAAAGATGTGCAGGCTGGGTGGATTGGCCATGCTAAATTGCCCATGATGTTCAGGGATGTGTAGATTCAGTGGGTTATAGGGGGATGGGTCTGGGTGGAGTGCTCTCAGGGTCAGTATGGACTCATTGGGCCAAAGGGCCTGTTTCCACACTAGGGATTCTACAATCTATGATGATTAATTAGTTTTTGATCTATTTTGTGGAGGTAGAGCTGGCAGCAGCAACATTGACTCCTGGTACTCCCCACATCTTACAAACAGGACTATGTCCATATTTCAGCATTACCAAGTTGTTTGTGGTTACTGCAGCTTTGAGGGCATTGTTATAACGTTCTTCCATAAGAATTTGTTCATTATCTTTAATAAGCTTTAATCACTAACAGAAAAGTGTTCTTCCAGAACTCACTTCTTATGCACAACATGAGTTAATCCGATTAATGTGTGACTCATAATTTGCTTATACTCCTAACAAAATATTTAGGGTTACCCACTGCAACCTTTCTCCATCACAATTTATGAAGTGACTATTCCAAATTATACTGTTTACTAAAATGTATACATACAGCAATCTAGGTTGAAATAACTTTTCAATATATCCTATTTATCTCCTTTTTTAAATCTTATTTTCGAACTTTTGCTAAATCTTTGCTAAAACCTTATTTTCTAACTCTCTTCTGGCTTAGCTATTGTAATTGTTAACTAGGAACTAGACAAACTGGTTTGATTTGAATACCATACCGCACAGTCCTCATTGTACTGAAGCACTGCTGTTCCACTCATTTTGCTCACTAGCGTTACAAAAAGTAATGTTTTTAATGTATATCATTGTTTGAACTTGGTAACAGATTACAAACTGAGAAAAGCACTAATGCATGGGACGTCTTGAATTCTGCTGTAAAGTGTAATCTAATACTGCTGTGTTGAGAAGATACATTCCTATCCAATGGCTTTGGAAGCGCATACAAGAAAATTAAAGTGCCTACCCATCAGCATCTTTGGTATTGAATTAAAATCTAATACTGATTAGAATGGATGTGGAGAAGATATTTCCACTAGTATGAGAGACTGGTACCTGAAGGCATAGCCTTAGATTGAAAGGATGACCCTTCAGAACTAGGATGAGGAGGAATTTCTTCAGCTAGTCTGTGCTAAATATTGTGCAGCATTGAATGACCATCCCCATTCTGATTCAGGGGTGATGAAGCATCTGCAGATGATTAGGCCTCGGATATGACCTTGAAGAACTAGGGCTCTTGTGGGCTGCTGACGCAGCCTAGGAAGCTATGGTTCATTCCCTCATGCACTAGAAGTGTATAATAACACCTCCTGTAACACAAGGTGACATTAAAAATACCTTCAGTAGCACCTGCAGTGGTGTCTTTTTGCACTTCCAGCAACCAGAACCATCTTTCACTGTGACTCCAACCAGCAGAGAGTGTTCTCCTTGATTCCCATTGACTCTAGTTTTGCTAGGGCTTCTTGATTCCAAACTGTTAGATGTTGCTTTGATATCAGGAGCAGTCACTGTCCAACATCTCTGGGGTTTAGCTCTTTTGTTTATGTCTGGACCAAGTTCGTAGAGGCTTGCCTCTTTACCCTAACCCAAACTTGACCTGGAGTCAGGGCCCTCAAGTTTACAATCAATGTCTGTCTCGGGTAGTGAGAGATGCCTTTGGACACCTAGTGGCATGTAGCTAATTACTATGTCATGATACAACTCCAGCTTTCAGAGTAATCTAATGATTCTATGATTTGCAATTAACAACAGAAATCTGCATAGTGCCTTTAACATGATGAGAAGTTTCAAGGCACTTCGTTGAACCATAATTTTAAACCAAAGTTTGACACCAAGCCACAAAGATTAGTTTGGTCAAAAAACCAAAAGCTTGCTCAAAGAGGGAAGTCTTAAAGAAGGAAATTGTGATTGAGAGGCACAGGGAAGGTATTCCAGAGCTTGGAGGCCCAGACAGCTAAGGGCACAGTGATTATTGATGAGGTAGTTTTAACTAGCAATGCACAAGAAGCCAGAATTAGAGGATTGTTCTACATTGAAGAATTGTGTGGCTGGCGGCGATTACGGAGATAGGGAGAGACAAGGCCGTGGAGCGATTTGTAAACATGGGGGAGAGTTTAAGTTAAATTACTTGGTTCGATGTCACTGTAGGTCAGTAAACGCAGAGGTGATAGGGGTTCAGAGGATAGAATATGGGATACCAGCCTGGAGTGATTTGGAATAGTCAATTCCAGAGATATGAAGACTTGAATGAGCAATAGCTGAGCTGAGACGAGTGAAGTCTGTTGATGTTATAGAGGTAAAACTAGGTGACCACTGTGATGGCAAAATTGTGGTTGGAAACATTTTTTGGGATCCATAGCAGTATCAAGATTGTGAAAACACTGGCTTAATCTCAGCCTGTTAGTTGCGAGAAAGATGGATTTGTGGTGAGGGAGCAGAGTTTGGAACAAAACTAATGGCTTCAGTCCTCTGAATATATAACTGTAGAAAATCTGTGCCCATTCATGACCGGATGTCGATTTACCAGTGTGATAATTTAACAACAGTAGTGGATTAAACGAGGTGGTGAGGTAGAGTTGGGTGTTGGTATACAAGTGAAAACTAACATTGTGCCTTTGGATGATAGTGCCAAAGGCCAGTACATAAATGAGATATAGGATGTCAAGGACAGATTTTTGGGTGACACCAGAGGTAATGGTGTGTGAGCGGAAAGAGAAGCCATTTCCAATGATTCTTTGAGTATGACTAGATAAGAATGCTGAAGTAACAAAACAGATTTCTGACATTAGGATCCAGATTTAAGGTATTTCGAGGCAAGTAATAGGATCCCTGCTTCCATAAAACTCAAGTATAGGTGACTTCTTTACATTGGGGTCCTGAAGCTGAAATATCTAAGATGTTTTCCTACCACTGAAATGAAAATGACAAAATTGGGATGAGGCCATACATAAGGCCACAGAGACTTCTGAAATGTGGCAACAGGGATGTATTACTGAAATAACCATTAATGTTTAATTGTTAGCTGTAGCTTGTGGTTTTATTCTGATTATCACTGCTGGTACCTCATGGTATCTGTCAACTCTGCCAATATGTAGTACATGGTAGGAGAGTTGAAGTAGTTTGCTGTCTCTTTTGTATATTCTGTGTCCAGGACCCATCTATCAGTGGCAAAAAATAGCCTACTAGTGAGTCTAAATAGAACAGGCAATTGTCTTGATTAACAAGATGGTTTATTGCATGAAAGCAATGATAACTTACAGTTTACATTACTAGTTATGCATAAGTACTAGTTCTCTAAGGAGCCGAATAGAATATATTCGCTTCCCTTGAAGGCGAGTGTAAGATTTCTGTTTCCGTTCAAGGACCCTGTGTGACATCATTAGATTAGGTCCAGCTAATGCAAGTTCAACACTACATCTTTCAGAACAAGAATCTTATACAGCGTAGCTTATTTGCAAAGACTTTACTGCTTAAGAAGTAGGGCAATCATTTACATGTACTTCTTTTGTACATTAACCCATATCATTAAATGAGTGGCATTTCTAAGTGAACTTAAATTGATTTTTTTTTATTCAGTAATAGGATGAGGGCATTGCTAGCTAGGCATCATTGCTGTGGATCTGGAGTCACATATAGGCTAGACCAGATAAGGCAGTTTCCTTCCCTAAAGAACATTAATGAACCAGATGGGTTTTTCTGACAATGGATTCATGGTCATCATTATATTCTTAATTACAGACATTTTTATTCAATTCAAATTCCACCATCTGCTG